AAATTTAATTCCATCCATTACAGTAACCCACTTGTAACCTACTGTACAGCAGAGCGACATACACGACTTACCCGCCTTTTTTCCTTTCTTCCTACTACCACTATCACAATTTTCAAAAACGCACTTTGGCATTATTACTAACTTTCAATTACTTATAGGTACAGAGTATTTTCTAATGAATTTAAACAAATTTATGTCACTTAAGTTTGCTATAGGTAACTAACGTATATCTGTGAGCTGTTCTTTACATCAAATGGTGTTATAWAAATATTAATTTATTAAAAACYCCTATCTGGAACTACTTTTGTATCTGAGTATATTATAGTGATGATTAAATTAATTACATTTAATTAACTTAATCTTAAGCATAATAAAAGACATTATACTTTTTAGATACTTAAATATCATTCTTAAAAATTAAATACTTAATGATAATATAACGAGTATAATTCCATCTTGCCCGTTTAATATTTATTAAATTACAATGTAAATCATTTACATTATAATTTATTACCTATTTAATGATATTGAATTATATGTAATGTCTTATACTCTGTTTATAACTGTCGAGATGTCAAGATTATAAACCAGATAATAAACCAACGAAATTTAAATCGAATGACATACAATTATAATAATTGCCATACATATTAATACAGATGCTCATTTTCAATTAATAATAAATACATAGGAACACACGAATATTTATTGTTTATTACTTATTTATGTACCTATACATTTTTTTTTTTTTAAATCAATTCTTTTCCGATGTGCCACTGCCCACTTTATGACTTGATCTAAACCGGTCAATAATGTTTTACATGTTTAAAATATAAAAAAACACACCCTCTGACATCRATATTATTATGTCTCTGAAAAGAACTTAAGTTGGCGCAAAGATCTGATTTTGCTTCCGTTAATGTTACGGAAGGCACTTCAGAAGATTTTTTTGATATAAGCACCTAGAGACATTTTTCTGCGAGGGAGGGCTAAAATTGTTTCACCAGCACATACCCTGATACTTAATGTTTTAAGCTAAAGTATGATTAAAAAGMTGGRAGACTACGGATAAAACTAAGGGGGCTCAGCATACCCAAGTCCCCCCTAATTGAGCCTATGTTCTACTTCGTCATTACCTTAGATATATGAATTTTATCTTATACATGATAATCGCCGGAAACCTCAGTAATAATAATAAGCTATTTATTTTAATTTTATATTTTTCGTAGTCATTATACATCAGCAAACGTGTATCTTATATTTCTAAAAATAATTAATTCGTAATATAATGATATTATTGCAGTGTAACTTGTGCTTACAAGCACCAAAATTGTTAAAGTTMATTACATCGCGAAAGCTTTAATTAAMAATTTTCGCTTTATCGAGAGGACCAAAATACATTTACTTATTCGCTATACCTCCAGATTTTCAAGGGAATGAGTGAATGACAGTTTTACTTGTTATATCTTGTTATATTATAATCATAATAATATTGTTGTAATAAAATAATTATAATAATTATATAATTTATCATATGGGTCATGCTAAGCAGATGAGATGGGCCATGGGAGCACGAGCACGATCGCAGAATCGCAGCGGCGGACCAATGAGAAACGGAGAAATGCTTACGTCACAGTACTTGGCAGGGCGGAGGGTGGGTGCGCGATTAGTCTAAAAACCGATAAATTGCTGACATACCTGTTTAATTTATCATGAGATTATCTTGGATTGTAGATTGACTAGATTGTAATACTATTCACCGCTTAGATCACTATGTGATTTACATACGAACTTACGTATATGATCTAAGATTCACCACGAACTAAGATTATCTTAGTTGATGCTATTAACAGTATTAACTAATAATTCATAGCTTGCATGGAAAAAATATACCTATATTATATGTGGTTACTTGTATCGCTGCAGAACAATACGGTCCCATATAATATGAATAAGTACTCTATTTCAAATTTTCAAACGAAACCAATAGTTATCCAAGTAGAATTAATTCCATCTGACCATCTATGTTTCTGCATGGTTGGCAACAGCACACCAGTCTGTCGTATGGTCCGTATGGATAATATTAAAAATCATTTAGTTATCCATTGATAAATTTTAGACCTCGTTCGACCGTTTTTCAACTGAATTGAGAAAAATTCGACCAGGAATTCAAACGCACGGGACATCGACAACAAATTTCAACTCAAACTTAAAAAGTCGCGTATCTGAAAACTAAGGAATTGAAGGAAGTCGGCATGTCGCGATATCGAAAAAAAATTACAAAATATAATGGTAGGGATGAAAATTTTGTCTCGTGTACGTGTCATACACACGAAGACGCTAAATATTAATTTTGATTATTTTATTAATCTTTTGCTATATTGTAATAGTACGACCTCTGTTGACTGGTAAGCTTGTACCGTARTAAGTATAGCTGTATCAGTGTGACTCGTATATTTTTCTCGTTTTCCGGATCCAGAATCCGCGGAATCTCAACAGCAAGGAAATTGGTTAAAGTCAATTTCTCGCGATTTTTTTTTGTTTTATTATCATTTAGGCGTTCCTATCTAGGTAGCTGTTTAAGCGCATAATAATAAGTATTTTCTTTTGTTTTTTACATAATATTGTGATATAATAATAAAATATTAACATAATAGTTTTAAATTACATTATTATCTGAACATGTTGTATCATTCTTAGGCATTGACTTTCGCGTTAATAAGTGATGAAACCAGGAAACGAATGATAGTTTATAGCTTATTGCTACTTTGCTAGTAATGCTAGTATATATACATTTCAAAAGCTGTGTAATTTCATTCATTTCCAATTTAATCTAGAACGTCACACTCAACTTACCAACTATAATCGTCAATCAGATATATCTTAGAGTGATCATAGTAGGAATCTTCACCCATCTTCCTCGGTACAGGTACCTATCTCCTCGACAATCTAAGAAATTGGTTTCTCGTCTAGACAAATTACAAATTTAAACATCACTTAATTAAAAATGCACCTAAACAATACAGTTATGTATTGACACGTGTCAACAAATTAGCGAGCACAATTTTATTTATTTGTAGTATAGGCTGTTCTTATTATATAATATATAATATAATCGCTATAGCAGTATAACATTTATTTATTRCTATCGAAATAAGTTCATAAACTCAAATCGTATAGGTACCTTGAACCTACCAATATGTAAGTACCTACATTGGAAAAACATTCTTAGTCCAAATTACGTAATTATTATCGATCTACGAAGATCATAAAAAGGAGAAATTATTATCTTATACCGGAAGTTCGGAACTCAAAAAAATAACAACTAATTGCCAATCGGTCAGTTGAAATTACATCTTGATCGCGTTTATTTTGAGTATTTTTATGTGGATAATGCTGAAAGTTAAAAGTTTAATCACCGGGAATTTTTTTCTGCATTAGTCTGGGATTTCCTGGAAGTGTAAGAATGAAAAGATTTTTTATGAGAAGGTAAGTATGAGATGGAGTCGTTTATGGGATTTTGAGGCGAGTGTAGCAGATATGCGCTTCCTCTTCGGCTAGGTTAGTAGGCTCGAAAATCGATAGGTCATTATGAAGAGTTAAAACAGAGGTAAAATAGAGCGGAGCATTGGAAAAGTCGTCAGTGATGTATTTTGATAATTTTGAATCCTACAAGTGTTAAATTTTTTTAACGCACCCCATAGTTGAGGTCCATTTGTCCAGATAGATTTGAGTAATTTATAAATTAGTTGGTAGTTTGGTATTTGGCGTGGAGTGTATTTATTTCGAAATTCGAATTAAAGAGGTCTGAGCATGTACATGCGATTATTAAAGGTTAGTATTTAACCCAGTCAGTGTCAGTCTTTTGTCGAGTACCAACTATTAAGGCCATTGCCCAAGTATTTGACAGTGTTGGATGTAAGTTAAGGGTTATGTTTACTGTTTAGGCATATTCCTTATTTGAGTATGAATATTGAATGAATAGATACATTTAGACCGCCCATTTTTCAAACCATTATGATTTATAAATCCGACGAGGCAGTCAAAAGATTTTCATTAATAGAATAATAGAATTAGACACTARTGGTGATTATTGATTACAAATATTGAAATGTTGAATTAAAAATTAAAATGTAAATATTTTCGTAGTACTTATTTAGTGATAAAAATAATTTGGAATTTTTTAATGATAACAAAAATCGATATTATAAATTCAGCTTTTGTTTACACCAACAATCGCTTAGCAATGGAATATTATCCTAATATTTTGACAGTAACACATTTTAAATTAATTTAAATTTAAAAATGTACCTTCAATAATTTTAATTAAATTCATTATTTTCTCACTTCTACTGTATTATTGGTACCTTAAATTTAAATAATTAGTTATAAATAAAATTGTTTTGTCGTTAATAATCGATTGTTTTAGTTACTTTTTAACKATCGAATTAATTGTATCAGTTCTGAATTCTGGTTTGAGTTAAGTTTGTGTAATTTTGTCGTTTATGACAACAATACACTGAATACAGTATTAACTATTTTTTATTAATACTAAACCTAATTTTGTGTAATTGTATTTGTATAGTTGTATATTATGCTCTTAATATGATCAACTTATTCTTTTGAACATTATTTTATAATATTAAACTAAAAGTTATAAATTATAATATTTACAAATATTTTATTTATATAGTTAAATTAATTTATATATTGTTGTTATTATTATTCTTATTGAGTATTTTATTAAATAAAGTATTTCTAATACTTTATAGGGTAATTTATTGAATCTGATTGTAAAAAAAATTTGTTTTAAACATGGCTTCAGCAGATCCAATGGGTCTTACTAAAACTTGGGAACTTTCACTATACGAATTGCATAGATCTCCTCAAGAAGCTATTACAGACAACACCGAAATTGCTGTATCCCCGCGAAGTCTACATAGTGAACTAATGTGTCCAATATGTTTAGACATGTTGAAAAAAACAATGACTACTAAAGAATGTCTCCACAGGTAACTATAAAATAAAATTACATATTAGGTATATTTTAATTTATAATATATTATAATTAATCATATAATTTACTAATATAACTGTATTTGTTTTTAGATTTTGTTCAGACTGTATTGTAACTGCTCTTCGTTCGGGTAATAAAGAATGCCCTACTTGTCGTAAGAAACTTGTATCTAAACGTTCTTTACGCCCTGATCCAAATTTTGATCTTCTCATATCTAAGATCTATCCAAGCCGTGATGAATATGAAGCACATCAGACTAGAGTATTGGAAAAATTAAATAAGAGTCATAGTCAGGCCAATTTGGTTCAGTCAATAAATGAAGGTATTAAATTACAAACTCAAAATCGACTACAACGAACCAAAAAAAACCAAAGTGAAGAATTAAATGAAAGTAGTTCATCAACTACTTCAAAACCTTCAAATAGTTCAAGTCGAGATAATGTAACAAGAACAATGGTACAAACAAAAGTTGCAAAGAAAATGAAATCTGTTATGATCTCAGAAAAAGAAGGACCTGCTTCAACCGTTGACACCTCGGATATAACAGAATGTGATGGTACATCAAAAGGTGTATCAGTTGATGAAATAGAACTAGTATTTAAACCTCATCCTACAGAAATGGCTAGTGATAATCAATTGATCAGAGTTTTGAAAGAAAACTCTGTACGTTATATAAAAACAACAGCTAATGCAACTGGTAAGTCTTTAAAATTAAAAATTTTCTTTTTCTAAATATTATTTTTAATTGAATGTTTCAAGATAAATTACTATATACTATACAACAAATTTAAAGCATAAAATAAGTTGTAATATAATAAAATATAATATATTGTATACGAGTATAATAAAAAAGTTTCTTATTTTAAAACACCTAGTAAAATTATAATATGTATCCTCAAATCTTAACATTGCCCCCTCCCCCTAGAAAAATTTCTGC